CATTTCACATAGAATTGGATAGATATCCATTCTAAATGAACCATGGATTAATATATTGTGAAGATATGGTGTACCCTAGTTCCAAGTCAACACCCAGGGTCGACCCTAAAGCCAAGTAATCATATAGGAACTCTTCTTGAATTCTCTTATAATGATCTTACCTACTAAATGCTAGAGGTTAAGATCAATATGTGGAATTTCAAGTTGAGTAAAAAGAAGAGTTTTGAATTTCTAATGGTGGGGTACCTCTTCTAATTTTCTAAAACTAGTCAATAGGAAAGTCTTATGGCTAGACCTAGGCTACTAAAGAAGTTTCTAGACCTCAACCAAAAGTGAGGTCAACACTTCAGTAGCTGATTACTGTGCTCTATTTCTTTCTTCTACCGCTTTAAACAGAAAATGAAATTTACCCGTAAAACCCTCTTTTCGTTCTTATTGTCAATTCCTTTGAACTCTTAGATAACAATGCAATTTACCGAGCATCTTGGACAAAAAGTTCATATGTGACTTTCTTAGCATGATAAGAGAGTCTCGGGTTGGAAAACAATAAGCGTATGTATGTGCCTTTTTTGTGTGCTAGAAAAATTATGTTTGCAAAATTTTCATGTGCGTACTCAGACCCTATTGGTGAGTTATAAGACCTCCGTGGTCTCTTAGACATCACTTTTATACTTTTATTGGCACAATGGATAGACATAGACTCTATATGGTTGTCCCCTATGTGGAGAGATGTTGATGAACTGCCATAATTTGTAGTGATATGACTTAATAGATATAAATTGTGTCAAATGAATTGAAGCTAATCATAACCAAACATAAAATTAAAACTTAAATTGGACTTCTAAGAGACTTAGAGTGATCTTGAAAACTATGAGCATGGAACTTACTAATTATACTATTAACTCTCCGGAATAGTTAGAATGCTCAATAATATAGTTGATGAACTGAAATTGAAATAAAATTAAACTAAGGTAGGTTCGTATTTATAGATCGAAGAATGATTCTTTGCAGGGCCCATTTAAGTAAAGTCAAATTGTGCTTCTTTGAACATACTTAATGGATTCTAGGTTAGATTATTGTGAACAAATGCGCAAATCAAAGTATGTCAGCTAACAAATTGGTGTCAATAATTAACCCAAATTGCTAAATCACATGCGTTTTTTAAGGGTGATGCATTCATATGGATGATTTCCCATCTGAACCCTTATATATGTCAAAAGACTGTCTTTGTATTTATAAAGAAAATTGAACCACTATCCCACGTCACGAGATGAGTAACTTTTTAGAAAGTCATCCATGGCACATCAAACTGCTGAAAGTAATTTTATTCTCTTATCCTTGGACAATCATACTAAATTTCTGAACCTAAAGTCGGATAATGTTGTGCGGATTTAAAAAAATATGAATGAGATGAATTCAAGGTTTTCTCGCTCCAATAAGTGTGTAGTTTTGTTATACTTAGTTACTCTCTTTCAAACTCAAATCTAAACTACAAGATTATATGCATTCTTTCCGGCTAGGTGTCTTGTCTATAGGGTTGTGTTGTAAGCCCGACTTAATAAATCTAATCATCTATGCTACAATGATCGGAGTTAATAAGATTTGCCTTAAAAGAGCGATTTTAAATTCTTCTCTCAAGGTGTAATATATAAGACTTATTACCATTGAATTGGAATCAAATATTCGATCATGAAATTTGTTAAAAATGTTGGTAAATTAAGTAAAAATGTTAAAAAATTAAAATGACATGAAAATAATAAAATTTTAAATATATAAGAGAATCGTTGTAGTTAAAAGAAAAAAAAAAAAAAAAAAAAAAAAAATTTCTAGTGATACTAAACTGTTTATTTGTTGTGGACTATCAGTTTGGCCTTTTGTGTAAACAAGCTAATCTTCATTAGTTTACCTAGAGTGATAAATTTAAGATTATCTCAGTTCACGAAGTGCTAACCTCACATGAGACGTGCCTTTATGATCCCCATTAGAGATCTCATGCATGTAAGGAATGACACACACCCTCTGATTTAGTATTAAAGTAGTAAATGATGTACTTTTTCTGTGAATTGATGTGGATACAAACTCTTTTATGAGAATTAAACTTTTCTTTTGTATAATCTATGATTTTAAATTGTGATAATCAAGTTCTAATCTTTATTGCTAGCAATTCTATCTATCCTAAAGGATCATATCAAAGTTGACTTTTATTTTATCAACAATGCTGTCTTATTAAAGAGGATCCACACTTGTACTACTAGTGGAATAGATTTGCTAATATGGATGCCAAGTATTCTGGACTACTTTTTTTCTTTTTTCCCATACTATATAACAATCTGTATCTTATTAATATGCATCCTCTAGCTTTAGGGAGGATGTTAGCATAGTAAGATAACTTGTTTGGGAAGTTATATGTATATGGTGGTGTTGTATTTTAATATTTTATACTCTATACTGTTGTATACATTCTCTCATAATTTGTCGAGTTTTGAAGTGAATATGACAACAAAATATTATTTCGCTTGAACAAAATACTTTTTCATTTAAAAGAACATTTTGCTTAACTGAGCAATTGAGCTTGCAATATTTTATCAACCATTCTCCTGAATCCTTAAAGGTTGGGTTTGTAAGGTGGTAGCATACAATTTTTTTGAGCCTAGCGTCTTGGTGAGCTGATGTTTAGTGGGCCCTAATGTTCCAGGCATGTTTTAAGATCTGATTTTTCCTTTTTATTTATTAATGTCCGTTTTTGTATATCTCTTTTTTTTTTCTATGCATCTGGTGTATATCTTTTGATTTTGTTACATTTTTCTATCATTTAGCTACGAGTCTCGGGATGTGTATGACCATACTTAGTTCCATATTTCTATTAGCATTCAACTTTGCAAATTATGAAGAGTATTAATTCTAGAATGTATTTTTTACTCGTTTTTTGATTTGTGTTTTTGGGTTTAAAATGGTGAGAGGGCAAATAAGTAAATATTTGTAATCTCTTATTTGAATGTAGAATGATGATGATGAAGACTGGTTCCCAGAGGATTTGCATGAAGCGTTTAAAGAAATGAGAGAGAGAAAAATTTTTGATGTATCAGATATGTATACTATTGCGGATGCATGGGGTTGGACTTGGGAGAGAGAACAGAAGGCAAGAAAGCCGCAGAAATGGTCCCAAAGATGGGAAGTTGATCTAGGAATCAAAATTATGCAGAGGGTAAGGTGTCAGCTCTCTTGTTGCTTTTTCTTTATTTTTTAATTAACACTCTTGATGAAAAATTGCCAATTCGTAGGATGGTTGGCATGGTCACCAAATGTTGTTTCTGCTTATAGTTGAGGTTTATTATGCAGAGAATCATCAAATTCGACATTTTATTAACCTACCATTAAAATTTATTCTCATATAATACTAGCAATTCCTAACGAAATGCCCTCCATAATTATTATCCGAAACTTTTGCTATTCAAGCAATTCTTTTTGCCTTCTTTTGCTAATTCGGTGAAAGAGAGATTACTATTTTTTTTCAATTTTCCCATTGATGAAAATATCATTGTAACTTCTAAAGTCAGGTGTACTTCTGATTTTTACATTTGTCGTATGATGGTCTCAATAAAAAATCCAAAATAAAGGGCCCATCCTTGTCAATTGTATGCTCTCGAAGTTTTGTTTGTCTCGCATTTCTTGTCTTGTTTGCAACCGCTCCTATGAAAGCTCCCTGGAATTCTCAACGACAATAGAGGCAAGGAAGTTGTAGCGGGAGCACATGGGTGAAGGCTTTGGCGGGGCTTGCTGCACGTGAAGAAGGGAAAAGTCACGGTGCTTGCTTGGAAAAGTAGCAACTTGAGCTCGTAGGAGAAGGCTTGGCTGGTCCAACAACAAGTGAAAAGGAAGAGTAGTCCATGAGATTTTGGAGGATGCAAGTTAAATCCACATAGAGTTAATATTTAATAAATTTGGAGTTTAAGGTAAAACGAAGGAGAACAACATTTTGAGATTTATTAGGATTTAAAGTTGTCATTTCTATTTTTTGGCTTAAATTAAGTTAAATTTTTCTTAAATCCGATTGTCGATAACCCCTTTCGACTTTGTCTTCGGCTATGCCTCCATTGACAACTTTCATTGCGTCGACCTTGTTCTACTTCTTCCTTTCTCCTAAATCTCCCTTTCTATTATTCTCCCTCTCTAATTCTTTCTCGCTGTCTTACTTCAATTTCTCTTTCTAGGTAGGGTGGACATAAAAAGGAAAAGGCAAAAAAAAGAAAGAAAAATTTGTGTGCACTGTTGTCATTACCTACTTGCCTCAACACACCTTATGCACACAAATAGAACACAAAAATAAGTAAAGTTTGCCACGACATTTAAGCACACGCATATATTGTTCATGCTTGCAAGGAGAAATTATCTTGCTTTCATATTTTCTTGTGCAGGTAAATGTCCATACAATTTTTTTATTTGGCTTAGTGAAGAGAATACTCACATACTCATGCATGCTTTTCTTGGTGCCCTGAGAGTAGAAGATAGAGACCCACCAGACTTATCGTATATTTTTATGTTGTAGGTATATAAACATTCTTACACACCCATCTTGGTTTGATGGGAGTAGAACATTTGATCATGGTGCTCTAAACTCTACTCGTAAATGTCTTTCTTGGCATGGTGAGCATGTTCACACTCTCTATGGATGCCCATGTGCAAGGGTGACAACAAGAGGTTGCTTGAATTTTTAGCAATAGGACTTTTAACTTAATGAACGTAAATGGCAGTTTATACCTATAACATAAAAACACAAATTATAAAATGAAATTAATGAGCACTCAAAATAATATGCAAATCGCATCCAAAGAATTGAATAGAATCAAAACGTATTACATAATTAGAACTAAAATATGAATTTCAAGGGTAGTGATAAAGAAAAGCTGATAATCTACATTATTGATGGAAGAAAACAAACTGCTTACAAAGATGAAAAAACAGAGTTGGTTAACCATAAACATCAACCAATGCTGATACTTGTAGGGAATGATAAGACATAGACCTCCCTTGGTGGAGGACAGTGTTAAAAAAAAAACGATGGGAATTAGTGGTCAAATTATTCCATCTTTTAAAAAATTGGTTCAAAAAAACAATGGGGATTAGTGGTCAAACTATCCCATTTTTTTAAAAATTGAATAATGAATATGCATTCCAAAGAGAGCTTGATTAAATTTTTTCGATAAGCATTTAAAGTAAGGTTTGAATTGCCATAATCCAAATGACCTAAAGAGGCATATCGAACTAATTATTCTAATTATTGGACATTCCATTAGGTGATTGAACTAATTATTCTAATTATTGGACATTCCATTAGGTGATTAGCAACTTTATTGAAAATTGTTATATTTCCAAAGATTAACTGGAAAGGAAGTACAAGAAAGGGGAATTTACATAGTCGTATAGTGTTATATATTGTCATCCAAAAAAGAGAGTTAACAAGGGTGGCCTCTCTGTGGCCTCTCCTTCTCCGATTCCACTAAAAAAATGAAATAAAAGAAAATATAGTGCAAAATGAAGATGAGAAAATGTGTGATATCGAAGTTAAAACAAGGGCGGCAAGCATGCTAGCCAAAGCCGAGGAGCGGAGGCAAGGGTGGCGGGTCGAAGCTGAGAAACTCAAGAAAGGGTGGCGGCTGAAGCTGAGGAACCGAGGCAAGGGTGATAGCCGAAGCCGAGGAACCGAGGCAAGGGTGGCAACCAAAGGTGAGGAGTAGAGGCTGTGGGTTGCAGGAGGAGAGTCTGCAGCTGTCGGAGGCACTTGGGGTGGCCTAAGGTTGGCTACGACTTGCTTGGAGGGAGGCGGCAGCAGATCGACACTAGAGAGAGGAATGCGACATGCTGTGGTGGAGGCGCCAGGTGCTGCGAAGGCTTGCAGGGAAGCTGCAGGGAGCTGTCGTTGATCTGGGAGAGCAACAGGGCTACAGTAACTTGAAGGGAGGCTGCAGGAGGAGTGGTGACACCTTAGGAGAGGAGTGGGAAGGGCAACAACCTGGAGGGAGGCTGCATGTAAACTGGCGGTCTAGGAGAACAATAGGGCTGGGGTAACTTGCAGGGAGGCTGCAGGAGGAGTGGGAGGCAGGGAAGCTGCCGACTAGATTGCTGGAAGGGTTGGAACGTCGGCGAGCTGTAGGACTGCAGCTAGTTGTCGGAACGACAAAGATAAACATCTCCTCGGACGGGGTTACAGCCAGAGCACCTTCCTCGTCGTCGGATACACCCTCAAGAGGGAAATCATTCAGATAAAATTGAATTCAGATGTCAAAGTCAAGACCCCTAAATCTAGACACATCAACTCCTATTTATAAGAGACTTGATCCAATTCTAGCAAACAATTAAATTAAGAAAGGAATAAAAATAAAATCTAAATCTTAGAATTTTAGGAAATGTTTAAATTAAGGGAGGAGAATAAGATCAGGATTTAGGGTTTTAGGAAATGATTTAAATTAGGAAAGGGTCTAGGAAGGAAAATAAAAAGAGGAACAAAGGAAAAACAAAGGAAGGGGAAAAAAAGGAAAGGACGCAGAAGGAACGAGGGGGCGATGGGGCTCCCCTCCAAGCGAACCAGTCGGTTCGGTTCCCCATGAGCCCCGCGTTAATGCATGTCGAAAAGAATTATGAAATTGTTAACCTATTTAGGATTTTCTGGTATCCGCGCTTGTACTGAAAAGAAAAGCATGTTCAAGCATATTTGAATCCAAATTGTGAGTTTGTAGACATTCCATTAATGCTAGCTTATCTCAACCTAGAAGATATACTAGTTCTATCACATCGGTGATGTCCAAAATGGTAACCTGTCATAAGAAGCTGAAGAAGAATAAATGAATAAATCAAAAGTTTTTAACAATTTGGAAGACTACCATCAACATGTAAGATAGCATGTCCGACTTACAATTTCATATTTGGGCATCAGATTTGCAAATCAAATAAAGAATATGATGGAAGGTGAATCACTCCTTATGGAAACATGTCTAGCCATTTTGATAACATAGAATGTTTCTCTATGAACTTCATTTGACAGGAGTCTACCATCAATGATTCATATAAATATAATACCAACTTCTTAGGAATTGAGGAAGGAGGAAGAAGGACGGAAGCAGAGAAGAAGAGTTTCGGAGGAAGGATCAAAGAGGGAGCCACGGGTGAGGATATCCGTTAAATCGACGAATGTTTGTATTTAGTAAATCCGGTATTCACGGCAAAATAGAGAGAAAATCAGATTTACGAGAGCGTCGGATTTAACTTTCATTTTTTTATCGTTTGGATGGATTTAAGTTAAATCCAATCTTAAATCCTATTAAAAGTGCGCTACCAAACACCCCCTTCAGCTTCACATTCTTTAATGAAGTTCGTATGCTTGGGATTTGGGAAGTCAGGGAACAATCAGCTTTTATATTTTATCTGAAAGAATGGTGTTATACTAAGCTAAATTTTGAGTATGATGCTATAAATGCATCGAATGTTGCAAGGTAAGAGCTTGTCATGACCTAATTGAAGATAGGGGACAAATCAAACAAAATCAATTAATTATTGGTGTATGTTGGAAAAGAAACATGTGGGAATAATAATGATATTGGATTAGCACCATCAATAACAATTTAAAGCATTATAGCATGAGCAGTATCGAAGATGCTTGCTCTAATTTGTTGGGGTATATATAGATTTGTCACTTGATGGATAATACGTTTATCAGTATATTGAGAGTAAAATAGATATTGCATATATTCAAGAGAATTATTGGCATGAATGGTTGTAATTTGAGTGAAAAATTATATGTTACTTTCTTGATAGAATAGCTTAAATATAGAGATGACTTTTGACTGATGCTTCAATAAGTAGCAATCATGTTATGGTCTTCACCTAAAGAAATAAAATAACTAAAACTCAAATGTTGGCATATGGGACTTGTTCTTCAGATATTTGAGTGTATCAAGTTTGAAGGTGCATTTTTATGTGAAGTGGATGACTTGGGAAGGGAACACAATGATTTTTTCCATATTCAAAACTTTCATTTTTTAAAATTTGAAATAGCTAATGATATATGAGTAAAGCTTGGAAAAAGGCAAGATGGAGGGTGACTAGATGGCAATGACATTGATAAGGGAAATAGTAGGGGATAAGACAATGAAAATAGCGCCAGTGAGATAATAAATATGTCCAACTTTAATACGTCCATATCGAGATCCT